ATGCATAATTCCAATGGATTCCTTATTCTGAGCCTGCAACACTCCAGATTCCTGCTCCCCTGAAATCGGTTCCAGTGCCACGGCCCAGCCATGCAATTTCAGAGACAGATAAGATATAGATCTGCTGTACTCTGGTGATTCTCTCTCACAAGTGCACCTTGTCAGGCTATAATTTGATATGCTTTTACCATTCCTATGGGGAGGGGGGGGGAAGCCCTTTAATTTAAAAAAAAACCCACCACATTTTGCCCTTTTTGTTCACTAATGACACAAACAGTAAAATGTTCAGATTACATGAGGGAATGGAAAAGCCTCGTGGAGAAAAGACACTGACAAAAGCTTCATTTTCAGGTAAAATTGCACAAAGCTCCAGGCACTGCATCCTTCTGGTGATGTGGCTTTTTTTTCCCCTGCCTTTCATCCTCAAGCATCCCCGTGAATGTTAATCCATTTTACAATGGGACGTTTAAAAGGACTGCAGAGAAATCAGGTTTGATCTGCTCTGATGTCTTCCAGAAATCTCCAAGCAATTTGCAGCTGTGGATAACACACCAGGAGTGTGGGGAGAGCAGGGCTGGCCCCTCGGATGCTGACTCCAGCTGCAGCTCACATCCTGCAATAAAACCATTTCTGATTAGGATGCTTTGGGTAATGCAGGGATGTGTTTAATGCAGGGATATGGTCTATTTTTCCTAAAGCTGCCTGATGTTTTTCACACCTGCCTCAGTGACCACGAGAGGACAAGGGAAGGGGGCAGGATGGTGTCCATAGCAGGATGATGTCGGAGGGTGGAATGGTCTGGCATTGAGGAAGTGCCAGGTTCAGTGTGTGGGGATGCTCTACTTGAAGGACAGATTTTCCACATCTCCAGTGCCTTCAAAGCCAGAAATGGGATGTCCAGAGGGGGCACGTGACTCTTCCCTGGAGCCAGGAGAGAACCTGCACTCCATTAAAAAAGTGGAAATCAGAGAATCTTAGAGTGCCAACAAAATCCCAGAATGGTTTGGGATTGGAATGGGGCCTTAAAGACCAAACAGTTGGATGGGACCCTAAATACCATTTAGTTCCATCCCCTGCCATGGGCAGGGACTCCTTCACTAGCCCAAGCTGCTCCAAGCCCAATCCAAGCTGGCCTTGGACACTTCCAGGGACAGGACATCCATGACTGTGCTTGGACACCCTGCACCAGGGTCTTTTCAAACCAGCACAGGTAGGAAACACCTCCATGGCCATGGGGATCCTTAGAGCACCAGCCAAAGTGGAGCATTCCCAGGTTTCAGGTGTGGAGGAGGAGTATTTAGCAGTGGCCCTATCCCCCACCACTGCGGGCAGCCTTTGGCCCTGGAATTCCCACACTCGCTCCCCTTGTGTGTTTGCAGAGGATGTTGCAAACAGCAGCTGGATGAGCAGCCAGAGAGATTTAAAATCTGGGGGAGTAGATGTGGGGTCAGTGACAGATGTGGAGAGCAACTCCCTGCACTGGGAGTGCAGAGGGGATGGTGGGAAAATGCTCCATGCCCAGCCCCAACACCGCTCTGGCTGCACCTCCCTGGCATTTCTTGTCTTGCAAAATCCTTGTGTGGGACTATTTGTCCTTTGGCATCTGGCCATAAGGCAAACCACTGGATTTCACTTCTGATCTACAGCTTATCCAAGAGTTTTCTTCAGCCACAGGATGGCCACAGGAGCATGGGGCAGAGAAGTGATGTCCTGCTCGTGGAGGAAAACTAACCTGGACTCTTCCCAAGGCCTCTGGGCAGGTTTGGACTGCATGGAGTTCCGAATTCCCTCAATTGCTGTGGGATTTCTTGTTCTTCATGTCAGACTCTACTTACCAGGATCATGCTGAGGATGTTTAGGACTGAAATGGAAGAACTATAGCAGGATGTCTTGAACTGAGTTTGGACTGGCAGAGAGCTCCTTGAGGGACACCACCTTTACTCTCCCAATCCAATGTGATCTCTGGAAGCCCAGGCTCAGCTGTCCTTTGGAGAATGATTCCCATTCCCACCCCCCAGGCAGCACCTTAGAGGCAGGAACAGACCAAAGAGGATACAACAAAACTTCTTGAGTGATGTACAAAGCTTCCTGAACCTCTGTTCCACCCTGTTCCAGCTCAGGGTCTGGCTCTAATTAGGATTTAAGGGACCAAGAGGTCATTTCCCTGTCCAGCCTGGAGAGAGGTGCATCCCAGGTTATCCAAGCAGAATCTGCCTGCAAGGTCCCACTGCCCCTGAGATGTGGCAGGATTGGCAGCTCAGGGCTAAAAGCAGCTTTTCTTCCCCAGCTGGAGCTGGAGATTTAAACCTTATCAGTGCTGCTGAAGTTTTTAATGGATATCAATGGGGTAAAGTTCACAAAGAAAGCGGGATCGATGGGTGGAATAATACAGTATTGAGCGGGGCGCCGGAGCCGATGCGCCCCGCGGTCGATGATGAGCACAGATCACATTCCTGCAGCACTCACTTACTGCTCACCCAGTGCCACGCTCCGGGCTGGAGCAGCTGGGAAGGGAGCACATTCCAGAGCTCCAGGCTCTGCAAACACTGCAGCAGGCACTGCCTGATGGATTTGTGTCTGTAGCACCCCTCAGACGGGCTCTCCATTGCTGTCATCCCCCTTTTAGCCTTTGCAAAGCCTGTTTGTGGCTGGAATTTTCTCTCTGAAATGTTGACAGGGAGAAATGCTCCATGCAGCTGCCTGGGCAAGGAGTATTTCCCTAACTACACCAGGAATCCCTCATTCTGAGGGCTGTGTCTGTGGTTTCCCAGCAGCAAACCTGAAGTTTGTCATACCAGACTGAGACTCTGTGCTTTTTGTCTCAGGGTCCCTCTTCAAACAGAGTTTGGTTTGGGGTTCCCAAGAGAAGGGGGGCATCAGCACCAGCACTACTCTGCAATAATATTGATTTTCACTGAAGGAACAGGCACAAGGACAATGGGGTAAGAGCTGGCCATGGCCAAGTTTAGGATGGAATGAGAAGGTTTCTAACCACGCTTGAGATGAGCCCTTCTGGAGAGCAAAACTCACTTTTGGTGTGGGTAGAGCCCAGCAGAATCCTGCCCATGCTGGGGTGCAGCCCCCATGGTCCAGCTGTGCTCCACAGATACAGAGGGACCACATTCCCAGTGATCCCATGCCCTGCTGCATCCCACACCCCCAGCCAGCACAGCAAGGCCGAGCTCAGCTCACAGCCCACCCCAAAGCACGTGGAAATGCACAACTCCCACCACCCATGGCTTGATACTGGGGATGTTACACCTCATGGTCTGTGCAGGAGTGCTGGGGAGGGGAGCCTGTCCCTGCTGCCATCACCCACCGCTGCCTGCTCCCCGGAGAACTTCCTTTGCTATGGAAGTTGGGAGCGATTTGGTTTCCACACCTCTGAGAAGAAAGCTGCCCCCTCCACCCCGCCTGCTCCAGCCAGGGCTGCACTATTCAATTGTTCTTTTTTGAAGAGCATTTGCTGTTTCCAAAGGTTTGAGTGAGCAGGAGGTGCTCGTTCAGTTACTCACTCTGTTAGACACGGATCTTAATGGATGGTATTGATTGGAAGAAACAAAGCAGCAGTTTTCTTTCTCTCTGTCCAGGGATTTCTGGGCTCAGATGAGAGGAGTTCGCTGCCTTGTGCTCTAAACAACAAAATACCACATTACAAAGTCCCCAGGAGACTCTCAGGGTAGCACAGCAGTGAGAGAGAGAGAAACGTGCAAGGTGTTAATGGGATAACAAATTAATAGGGAATGGGATTAGGCAGGGACACAGGCTGCTGCCAGGGCTCCCCTGGTCTCTGGTGCTGAGCTCTAATCTGTTCTTGGCACGTTGGCCTGGCCAACAGATGAACACAACAGGAACCCACCTGATTCCTGGGGCCACTGGGGTCCCCAAAGGCAGCTGGGACAGCGACGGCATCGGGAGCAGCCAAAAGACAATTTTAGGGGAAATCAGTGCCTGCAGCACCTGGAAAGGCAGTGAGATTCTGTCCTGCAGCACTGGAGAACCAGGATGGAGCAGCCAGCTTGGAAACGGTTTTAAAATCATTACCTGACTCTCTGTTGTCCCATGCACATTTTCCCATCCATCTGCCAGGCTTTCAGGAAGGTCAAGAGCAAGGCTGTGCAAGTTTGGGGACCTGAGAGTCACTGCTGCCTCTCTGCTTTGCTGTCACCCACAGACAGCTGGCCCCAGCACCAGGGCTTTCTCCCCCAGCCATCCCCACTTGCCTGGATCAGCCATCACAGAGGTGACACTTGAACCCAAAATCACTGTCAGTGCCCCTTCCTTGCCAAGAGACCCCGAGTTCCATTTCCAGCCTCAGCACCTGGGATTGGCAGGGGCTCATTTTACAAGAGAACAAACCATCCCCCTCTCATTGCCCTGAGGGTGCCACCCTGGCACCTCTGACAATTCCTCCTCTCATAAGATATTGATCCCAGGCCTTTGGGATGAGGGACAGAGCCCAATATCCCACCACCCACAGGGCTTCAGTCCCTGCTGGCATCAGGACAAAACCAAAAGGGCTTTTGCCAGCCGGAAGAGGGATGTGCCAAAGGGGGAAACGTTTCAGAGCCTTTTAACCATGATGCTGATTTTTGGAGAGCCATGAGGTTCTGGGGGATAACTGCCCCCTCCCAGCCCCTTGGCCGTGGTGCTGCTGGGCTGGGGGTGGGATGCTCTGCAAGCCTTCATCCAGCATTCCCTGCCAATGCTCTGGCTCTCCCTGACACTGATGATCTCATCCCTGGGTTTTATCTTTTGAAGGGCCCCCTGTCTTTCCTAGATCATGTTAACAAGACAGCCATGGAGAGCCGTGGCCCTGGGGGTCTTCATTAGTCCTTCCTAGATTTATGTTCCCTGCCAACTCCACACAGATCTTTGGGCATGGCTGCACAATGCCGGGACCACCAGGAGATCCCAGAGGTCAGGACCTTGATCCTTTTATTCCCAAAAGGCAGGGGAGCTCTGCAGTCATCCCAGGGCTCCAGCTGGGAAATGCTGACATGAGGAAGGGCACCTGCACGCCCACATTCCAGATCTACACAGTGACAGAAGGCACCATGGATGGCACCAAGGGATTGGCAAAGCCAGCCTTTGGTCCATCGGGAGAACGTGTGGAAGGTGGGACCAAACACTCAGACTCACTGCTCAGGGCTGTGAGATCAGCATGGCCTTCAGGTGGATCTCAGGAGGGAGCCCCGTTTCCATGGATCCCTCAGAAAATGAGATCCTGGGAAGGTTTTACCACTGCCCTGCATTGGAGGTGAACATGAAGGGTGAGACCCAGTCCCTTATGGATTATACTCGGTGTTCCCAGAAGGAAACTGAGCTGGAGACCTGAGTGTGGATCCCACCCACCTGACACACACCTGAGCATGAACTCCCCCCTATCCAATCCACGCCTGAGGGATGGGATTTCCCATCCTCTGGATCCACACCTGAGCGTGGGCTCATCTGACCCACACCTACAGGCACTGGTCTTCACAACAGGCCGCAATCCCAATTTTCCTTCCCTTCCCACTGTTTTTTTTCCCCAGAACAGGCAGTTTTGCACTGCTCACCTCACCACATCCCTGCAGCCACCTGCAAGGATGGTGCATCCCATCCCGTCCTGCTCCAGCTGACCCCATCTCAGTGGGGCACCTCCAGCCCCATCCTCTTTTTCCCAGCTGCTGCTGACAGTGGAATTGCTCTTGGTTAGCAATGGAAACACCACCACCTTCAGGATTCCCCCACACCTTCCCTCTTCCTCCAGGGAAGCTCCACACCTCGAGCATGCTCAGCACCAGGTCTAGGGATGAGCAGGTTACCAGGAAAACCACCCCACATCAAACACTCAGCTGGGAACTAAAATCCCAGCTGCATTCCAATGAATGCATCTCCATTCACGCCACTGGATCCACATTAATTTGGAGCAGCTGGGGCCAGGCTTGTTCAAGATTCCTATAAAAAGAGCCTCTACCTCCCAGCTCCTTCTCTCTTACAGCTCTAACCCATAATTTACTGAGTGAGAGATGACCTAAAGAAATTCCTGGGTGGCTGGAAAATGAGGCAGAGAAAGGAACCATTTTATGGTACGTGCTACCACTGGCAAAGCAGTGCTTGCGCAGGTGCTAAAAAAAGGGAAGGAATCTGGGAAGCCACAATAATAATGTACAAATTCCAGCATTCAGGAGGCATCATAATGGCTAATGATGGAAGGAAGGGGTGCAGTGGGTGGTGCCGCCCACGTTTCCCTGAAACAGCATCCTTTGGCAATTCAGTATTTCAAAGTCCTCCTGAAGATTTATTAAAACTGACAAAGTTGTTCTGGTTTGAGGAATAATGAGCTCCTCCAAGATTTTTGATTTTTTTTTTGTGAAAAATTATAGGAAACCATGAGTCCCATCCATGGCTAAATCTGCTGCAGCACAGGTGAGTGAAATCCAGCAGCAGCTCTTTCCCTACAGCGTCCTCAGAACTGTGGGATCATGAAGGTTGGAAAAGACCTCTGAGATCATCAAGTCCAACCTTGTTTGCTTGATGTCCTCTGCTGTCCTTTGGCTTAGAACGTCCCTGGGAAATGGAAATGGCCTGGGTGGGGTTTGTTATCCCAGCAGAGTGACCCATTACTGCCTTGACTGGTGAATTCCTAAAGATTCTGTGTGTCTTCCATAATTCAGCATGGAGCTGGAGTGACCAGATGTGATGCAAAGGGCAAAAAAGCAGCCCAAGGCATTCCTTTGGCCCTCTCCAAGTCCTTGTTTAATATTGACAGGAGCACTTTGTGCTTATGTAAGTCTGCTACATGCCAAAGGAATCCGAATCAAGGTGTTATTACTTAATGCAAACACCCTCCCTGCTGTTTCACGAGGTTTAAAAAGGTGATCAAGACTTATTAGGATTAAGGGCTCATTTTAGCTGAATTGATCAGATGACATTTAGGTGTAATTTCAGCTAAAAATACAGGCAAGGGATAAGCAGATTTTATTTCTATATAAAATCGTCTCCTCCTCTCCCTGTGCCATGCACACCCGCGGCCGTGTTCGCACTTACCCTCAGCAGCTCTGCCTGCTTTGGGTGGCTCGGGGCTTTTTGTGCCCTGGGAAAGGCTCTTTGGGCTGGCCCTGGATCCCCCCGCGATGGATTTAAACCCCCTCCCTTCCCACGGCAGCGAAGCTGATTGTCCAGAACCACGCTCCTTGGACTGATTTAGCTTCCACCAGCGTCGCTTCACAGTTGCAATCACAGATTTCTTGGAGTCGGCCCTGAAATGTGTCCAGGCGGTGAGAAGCTGGAAGATGAGGAGTGGGATGCTCTTCCATGGACCAACATTGCCATCCCATGGTGCAGCGGCCTCCCTGCAGCCTCTGCAGTGATGCTCCGCTCCCAGTGCACTGGAAATTCAGGAAAGCCAGGAAACTTCACTCCCAGCCTCGGAGATGGAGGGATTTTCCCAGGACCAGCCTCGGGACAGGTTCTCCCGACACCCATCCGCATTCCCCGTGGCGATCCCAATCCCACCGCGGTCTCTGTGCCAGCCCCAGATCTCCCCGCTCCCGAGATCTGTTAATTCTCATTTTCTCCAGCCTCAATAATAATTTCCCATGTGGCCCCATATCAAATGCTTTATTGAACTCCAGATAGATTAGATCTACCAAATTTCCCTTGTCTGGAAAACCAATTATCTTATCAAAGGAAGATGTCAGCACAGGCTGGCACAAACTGCCTTTGGAAAGCCTAGGTTGCACTTTATCTCATTTTTCTCAGTGCCTTAATTAATGTTTCCTTCAGAATTTGTCCTGCAGTCCCAGGTCTGACTACAAATGGGTTAACACATCCACAGCTGGATGCTCCTGCTTTTAATTCTCCTTATCTTCCTTACTTTCCCCATGATCCAGTGGCTGGTTGGGCCTCAATCCATGCTGTTTGACCCACAAAGCTCACTGGAAAGCTCTGCTGTCCTCCCTGCCCACCATGTGTCCCTTCTCCCTGAATTCCTGGACATCCAGGGAGTGGCCTTGTCCTGGCTAGGTCCTGGCAGTTCTTTCTGCCTGCGTTTACGTATTTCCCTAAAGAAGCTTTCCAAGGCTCCTGACTTCCCCTCACACTGAAGATGCACCTTTCTGCTGTCCTGACATTTTTATCCATCCCTGCTATCTCTCTAATCCGGAGATCATGGATTCCCAGGGTGGTTTGGATTGGAAGGCACCTAAAATTCATCCTGTTCCACCCTTTGCAAAGGGCAGGGACACCTCCCACTATCCCAGGCTTCTCCAAGCCCTGTCCAACCTGGTCTTGGACACTGCCAGGGATCCAGGAGCAGTCACAGCTGCTCTGGGCACCCTGTGCCAGGTCTTCACCACCCTCATTATAAATAATTTCTTCATTTAATCTTCAATATCTGGAGCCAGATTGTTGCTCATGGGAAGGTCTTTCCCTGTCTCTGATGTCATGAACATATAGGAGACAGTGAGGCCAAGTTGCCCAGGAATTTTAGCCACCAAAATAAAATTTTAGGGTTTTGTTTTTTTGGTTTTTTTTTAACAGATAAACACATGATGTGACTGAAATGAAGGCATTGTGGAAGTTGTTCATCCACTTTGTCATGACCAACCAAGGGTGTGCTGCTTAAATGATTCTATATTATTCCAGGGCAAAATCCTGAATTCTGGATATGCTGACATTATGCTAGTGTGGCAGCAGCACAATTTGCAATCCCACCAGGGCCAGAAATTGAAATCTTCCCTACCATTTGGAGTAAATGTCCCCTCCAGCTATCAATGAGTCCTTGCCCTCCTAGCCTGGGAAGCTGAAGATGCTCACAGAGATCCTCTTTGCTTTTCCTCGTGCCTAAAAAAAATCCTTGGAAGATGCAGCCTTCCCAGCAGTCTGCTAGTTTTGTTTTGGCAGATGCTCAAGCAAATGTTACTTTTTGGCATGGTGGGATCCCATCTTTTTGGAACCCATCTTATTGGCCTCGTGTCAAAACGTGCTGACAGCTCGGCTGGGCCTCTTGGAAAAATCTTGGGTTGTTCCCATTTTGTATTTTACAGCCCCACGGCAGCTCTTGGATCATGGGGAAAGGGAGGTCAGGATGGAGCCTGATGGAGCCAGGGATGGGGGCTTAGGGGGATGGAGGGTGGGGAGGGACTCTGCTTCTACCACAAACCCTTCTGGGATGGCAGGGGACACCGGGCCACCCCTCCTGCCTTCACTTCCCAGGCTCCAGTTTTCTGGAGGAAAGCCATCAGTCCCAGCCCATCCCCTGCATCCACTTGCTATCCAGATTTAACTTCCATGTGCATGACTCCTGGTCAGTTGTTTCATCTCCCCTGCTCTTTGCAGGATCTTGTGGCCAGGAATCCAAGGAGCAGCAGGGAAGGGGCCCGGGAGCAGGGCAAACTCCACCCCAAAGGCTCAGGAGCCAGGGAGGCACACGGTGGCCACGGGGACAAGCTGGTGTGATAAGGGGGTTGGAGCAAACATCGTGCTCCATCCCAGTCCTCATTCCCCGAGCTCTGCTTCCCTTCCCTTCCTCTGTACACAAGCAGAGCAAGCAGAGAGCAGGAGGCTCTGAGCACAGGCAGAGCTCCAAGAAACCAGAACAAACCTCACGAAAGCGCCAGTCATGTGCTCCAAACTAAATTTGCCTGAAAAAAAAACACCCTGACAGTGTTTTACACCAACTTATAATGACTTTCTTTCTGTTATGCTTGTTGCTGTTGTTCTGGTTAATACCTTCCTCACTTAAAAACCCCCAAACATGACCCCGTGGCAGCCACGACACAAATATCATTTGCTTGGATTATTCCTGAGGTGGTTCCTGTGCTGGAGGCAGCAAGTACTTACAATCACTCAGTACATAATGGAGAAATTCATTCCAATAATAACAATAATAACAGCATTTATTATTTTTGAAATATGACTCTGATGAATTCATGAATATAGAAAGCTCTTGTTGCTGGCTGCTGATGGAATTGAGCAGGATTTTCTGATGGAAATTTTTTGGAGATTTCTAATGCCGCTGATGCTGATGTGCATCCATCACCCCTCAGCATCTGATTCCTGGCCCCACTGGGTGTTTGGAGCACAGGGAGGACAGATCAACCTGGGGCACCTCACCCTGCTCAGGGCACTGT